CACATGTCTATTTAATATCTTACGGGTTAAGAGCACGCAATAATTAACTGAGGCCTGGTTCGTTTACGATGATCAGTATAAAATGAACATCCCTCTCTGGGATCTTGTTCAATACATAAATGTACTAGTGCAACTAATCGACGAAGACAAACCGTACGGTTGACACTACAATCGTTCCGATGGGTTGTTCAATTCCATCTAGGTTGTGAACCAATGATTCTTGTTTCGCAAGTAACTGATATAGTGATCTTCGGTACGCCCGATGACGACCCACTTATCTACATGCAAAACAACAGAACGTGGAACTTATTTAACCAAACATAATTCTCATTCATCAAGAAATAACAAGTGTAATATCCACTAAAGCAAAGCTTAAGTATATAACACCAACAACTGTCTCTTCCGTTCGGTGCAGACACTGGCATAGTGACCCGGACGGTTGCAGTTGTAACAAGCTCGCTGGTCTGCGAGGCAGTCTCCGGTGTGGAACCTGCCGCATTTAGGGCACCTCGGCTGTTGACCCTGAGTGGGTCGGTCGTCACGTCTGCCAAAGTTTTCTTTCTTCCCCTTTTTCTTATTCTGATACTCGGACTTTCTCTTGCCCGAGCTAGAGCCGGGCGACACAGATGAGATGGGCTGAGCATACTGAGCAACGGTCTGAGAAGGCTGGGAGGCATGATAATATGAAGGGACTGGGGCTATCGGAATGAGACAGCTCTCTACCTCCTGAGCCTGACGAATAGTATCTGCGAAAGACATCAGTCCGTGACTTCCCACCAGTTCACAGATCCTCTGGTTGAGCCCCTTGAGAAACTTGCGGGCCTTCTTGGCATCGGTGTTCACTGCGTCGCCCGCAAAAAGGCACATGCGGGTGAAAGTGCGGATATACTCATCCACTGTGGAGTTGCCCTGCTGCAAGTGGTAGAACTCATGCTCAATCCTCTCCCAAAAGCTCTGGGGAAGGAACTTGCTGCGCACAATCACTTTCATTTGCTCCCAAGTGAGAGCATGAAGCTCCGCCTCCGGCCTCCGAGCCCAGTGGTCAATCCACCAGTCAGAGGCGTCCTCCTTCATCTGATAAGCTGCTAGGGACACTCGCTGACAGTCAGGGAGGGGAAGCACAGCGAAGATTTTATCCAGTTCTTTGATCCACTCCAGCACCGCTGTGGGGTTCTCAGTCCACACGAAAGTTGGTGCATTCATCCTCTGAAACTGGACGATAAGCTGAGTAAGATCCATGGCCGTAGGGGCCTGGTGCTGATGGGGCGGAGAAGGAGTCGGGGATGGCTGACGGTTACGGTTGTTGTTGCGAGTATTCATACTTCTACATTGAATAAGCCGAACAAAGTTTAGCACAAAAACAAACAAAATAATCAATACTTATAGAAGTCTAGAGTTCGCCAATAAACACTAGAGTTCGATTAAATCAAGGTGGATAGGTCCTAAGCCCCCAAAATAACAATTACACCACAAGTAGTTTCATTACCACATGTGTTCCATTTACATATCAAGTATTTTCGTTAATACTTAAATCAAACATACCTTAAGCAGCGCGGAGTGACAGAGACGAGTGGTCATATCACAAGGTCTAAATACATAATCACATATGCGCCAGTCTACAGAAACGCAGACTGGATCTGATACCAAACTGTGACACCCCACTTTGACTTTAAAGAAATTCCAGACTTTCTAAAAATCAGAACAAATTTTTCGAATTCATTTTCGAAGTCAAGGGCATTAACCAACACAATTTACTTAGTCCAAGTCTTATCTGGACTCACGGGGATTCATAAACCTGATTTTTCACAAGGTTTTCATTAACCTGATTCACACTTCAACATAATATCCCATATGAACAATTGAAACTTCATAAATCAAACACCATGATTATTCAAGGTTCATAAAAGGTTTTCCAAAATATTTTCAAACATCAAAACATAGTTCGAAAACAGTTTTTACATGTCCAAAACATAGAAAGGTTCATAACGACCATATTATTAAAGCGGAAGCAAAACGAAACAAATACTAGACCACCACTCGTCCTTCGTCCCGTCATCCGGCCACTGCTTAACCTGCATCCGTGAAGAGCAGGTGGGAATGAGCACAAATGATAAAGTAGTGCTCACTACTATGCACATAATAACATGTAAAGATGGTATGGTCGCAGCATGAATATAAATCAATCATCATCATGTCTCATCTCCTAATAATCACAACAATAACTCACTCATGTGCATATCTATCATTAGCCGCGGAAAGGAGATGCATAAACCCTAACGACGGGAGTGCGTGCCACTGTAACGGACATGGCCTTTCATTAGGTCTTAAGGAGACTTGCCTCGCAAGGGCAACCGTACCGTAACTCGACGGGGACAACCGTACCGACGGCCGTAACAGCTCACATCGATAGGCCACATGGTTCACATTCATACATTGGTCATACCAACTAAACATTAAATAACACGTTTGGCATAGACAATTTTAGATTAGAACCCACCTAGATAGCTCGGTAGAAAATTGCACACAAGAGCAAGTACGTAGGATGAGGCTCGACTCCTCAAATACCTTCATTTAAGCGAGATAATTTATCAATAATTTATCTCACTACTCAAATTTGACCTAAAACCCATACTTAATAAAAATTAAGTCTTAAGGGTTTTAATCAGATTTTTCGTGGACTTGGAACTCTCTCATTTTTGAAAAATAAGACTCGGAGGATAAAATTTGAAGTCTCGAGACTTAAAATAATTTTTCTCAAAATTTTATTATTTTAAAAATATTTTTAAAATTGAAATCGGTACGAAAAAGGGGCTTCCAGAACTCAAATGGGTCAAAAGGGCCGCACTTGGGCCATTGAATAAAAATTGCCGCAAATTGGGCCGAAACATGGCCTGGCCCAGCTGTGGGCCGCTCACGGGCTCACGGGCCTCCTCTGCTGACACAAGGATGGGCCGCGCGCAGGCCTAATGCGGGCTAAGAAGCCCGCGCGCCTGGGGCTGGAAACAGACAAATAAAAAGAAATTCTCTATGCAGAGGAAGAGTTCGAACCCTTGACCTCGCACACGTAAATGGGCACAGTTACCAGTGCGCCACACGCCGACTTGCAACATTCAATGAAAACTTATAGTACAATAATTAAAAATAAGACCTGGGACATGAACAGAAAACAGAGACATCAAAATTTTCAAACAGGGATGCAACATAGATTTGCAATTGGCCGAATCTCAACAGAATTTTCACGAGGGGTTCGAACTTTTATAATATTATTGAACATAGCATCTTCCAGAGTTCGCAAAATATTTTCAAAACGGGTTTGCTCGAGATACAAAACGACACAATAATACAAAATCAATGACTGGGATACGAACGATCCAATCAACAAGACGACGGCTCAATACGACAAAACGAGACACCGAAATCACACGAATTCATCACAGCTGCAACAAGACTCGACTTATACAGTAAACGAGAGTTCCGATAATCCACTCAAAATCACGATTAATTTATCCGACAAACAATACAATTATACGACTCGATAACAAATGAATAAATAAGCACGATATAACCAGCAAATAACACGAATACGTTGAAATAAACGTAGGGGTTCGAAAGATTACCTGTCTTCGGGAATAATGAGTTATCGGGAAGACGGGTCGAACGAAACGGAGAACGAAATTCGAACTCCTTGAATCCGGTGCTAACTGCGAACGCCGGCCACGTACAGAAGCTCTTCATGTCCTGCTGCTGCGCGACTGAGAGGACGCCGTCGAGGATGGAAGGAGCTCGCCGGAAGCAATGGGAAGGGAAGTTTTTCCGGTGATTCTCGAACGGGTTTGCAGGACTGGAAGGTTCGCTGCTCGAGGTCGGATGGAATGGGGCTTTTGACCGCGAGGGTTCGCGAGGACACGACGACAGCAAAGTCCGTTGGAAACAATGGAGGTTCGCCGGATTTGCAGCTAGCGATTTTTTTATTTTTTTTTTATTTTTTTTTTGAATTCTGCGAACAGAGAGTTGAGAAAAGGGAATTTGAATTTGTTTGATGCGAAGTGAAGAGAAGACTCTCTCTCGACCGAGTCTTATGAAGATGTGGGAGAGGTGCCGTTGATCGTGAGCGATTCTCGCGGGGAAGTTGAAGAATCATTCAAGGATTCGACTGTGCAGATAAAGGACGACCGAAAATACTATCTGCTCTTCTTCTTGGGCTAAGCTTAATTAAAAGAAGTGGGCCAAAGTCATAACTCAAATTGGGCCAACAAATGATTAACTTGGGCCAAGGATTTTAATTACATTGGGCTAGAAAAAGAATGGCAAAAGGCCGATGAATTAAATCGCTTCAGGCCGGAATAAAATATACGCGATAAAAAGAATTCCCGAGATATTCGTCCGACGACGAGTAATAAATTAATCCGGATTATCTTTATTTATAATACACGCAATATATATATATAATAATAATAATCATTTAAAATAATTATACATTTAATCACAAATAAATAAATAATAATAATAATACACTTTCAATAATTTTTTGAAGATAAAAATTTATTATTCGAGCAGAGCCGTCGCCCAATTCCCTCAACCCTCAAATCCCCTCAACCCTAGTCGCCCAATTCGCACAGAGTCGTCGCCCCCTTAACGGCGGTCCAGGGCCTTCGGTCGACGGCCTCCACCGCTCACTCAAGTCGGACTTGCGCTCGTCTCCATTCATTGGCCCTGTTCCAGATTCGTGAGGTGTTTGGCGGCGGTTGAGGTGGTTCGGGTCGCAGTGGCCGCGCTTGATTGTGGCTTGGTCCGTCGAGGTGTCCCTGGCTGAGTCGTTGCCTCCTCGGTCTCTCTCCTCTTCCCGTCCTCGATGATCGGCAGCGTCGTACGGTGGTAAGCTTCTCTTTTGCTGCTTTGTCTCGGTTTCATTTGCTGTGACAGGTGGAGGGCTTCTCGGTGGTTGGTTGAGATCTTTAGTCCAGGGGCTGAGATTCTTGGCCTCCATCGTTTTGGTCTCATCTCCTCGGTTCTCTGAGGTGCTGCTGGCTGCTTCTGGGGATTGGACTGTTAAGATGACTCTCTTGGTTGGGTCATTTGGACGATGCCTAGCATTGTAGGCTTTCGGCCCTTTCCTCTTCTATTTCGGCTGCCGGGCCGGGTTGGGTTGGTTGAGGCTACCTAAGACTGCGTTGGTAGTATGGTGGTGGAGTCGGTTCGGCTGAGGGTCGGTTGTTCTTACAATTGTGTGGAGTGTGGGCTAAGCCCTTGGTTAGTGTTGGATGGCCGAGCATTCGCCTTGCTAGGCCTTATGCAGTGGTGGGCAGAGGTTTGGTTCTCTGAAGCTAGCTTCGGTTTTGGTTTGTTCGGCTGACATTTGGATTCGACTGTTGTGGGGGACGTTTTATTTTGTAGTTAGTTTGTCTCGTTTGTGTTGTGTTGTGCGAGTTTTGTGTCCTTGTTTTTATTTATGTTTTAGTGTTTTTGGTTCGGGTCGTTGACCCCTGTTAACCTGGGTGTTACCTTTATTCTCCTGTGGGGAGCCAACACCTAGGCATTCTCTATGAGGGGAGCTTTTAGTTTTGTGTTTGTGTTTTAGTTGTGTTTTTCTCCCGTTGGGAGCCAGTTTCTAGTTGTTCGTTGTTTGAGTTAGGTTTTATTCTGGCGTTGCCAGCGATTCTAGGCGGACTTCGATCTAGCCTTCTAGTTTGTAATTCCGCACATTTGTGCGCCTTTTATATAATTCTTATATCGTTTCGGAAAAAAAAAAAAAAAATAATAATAATAATAATAATAATAATAATAATAATAATAATAATAATAATAATAATAATAAATAAGCAATAATAATGACAATAATAAATCAATAAATAATCTCAATTATTCATAAACAAATGGGGCGTTACAACGTGTGCGATCCAGACCATGTCCTTTAGCATACCGATATTCATATTCAGCCCGATTTATCTTACGAGGAGAGATCGGTAGCCGTACTGGACCGACAGGTTTGTCAGCTCCGGAAATGTGATGTTCCCCTCGTTCGTATTCAGTGGGATCGCCACGGAGCCACTTGGGAGCAGGAGGCTGATATTCGCGCTCGTTTTCCTGATTTCCAGTTTTGATGTATATATTTCTTATGTTCTATGTATATATGTTCCGTTTTGTATTTCCGAGGTCAGAAATATTTTAAGGGGGGCAGATTGTAATAGCCCGCTATGTTATTAATGTAAATTACGTGTTTAGTTCTGAAATAATTATTTTATCGATCATTATCGTTCGGAACTAATTATCCAACTCAAGATTCTTCAAATTATTTTCGAAGTCACGTTTATGCTCGGAATAATTTCTAAGTATTAGAGTTCATTATCGAATTCATTACGCTTAACTCATGTCAATGGCCGAGGATTTGCATCAAATCGCATGACCTATGTATAAGCTAACCAAGATAAGCACTAACGGCAAGTTTAAGTTGTGCTAAGTTCATTTATAAAGTGTAGCACGCATGATTGCCGAAAGCCATGTGATACAAAGTCAAAATTTCTACCATCATCATTTCATTTACCTTATGTGGCCTTCATCTAATGTTTAAGGGATGACTAAGCCATAAAATGTACACCTACACCACTCCATGCGCGGCAAGTGGCGCAAGCCTATTGGCCACGCCCTTTAACTTCAAATTTTACCAAAAATTCACCATCCTTCGGCCTTCTATATATCTGAGTGTTGGGTGAAAATAAGGCTTATAATTAAGCCACACACTAATCCACAGTTAATAGAGAAACCGAGAGTTAAGTGAGATTAAGATTATTCTATCGCACGCACGCACGCACGCTATCGGGCGGACAAAAGATCACGAGAGTTTGTGCAATTGAATCGAGTGTTTGAGGAGGTAATCACGTCCTAATCTTCTCTTAATGTTAGTATGATCATGCTACGTTTATTATGTCCAAGTCATGCTATTCGGTTTATGTTAAAGCCATGTTAAGCTCGGTTTAAGGTAATTTAAGTCATTCCGAGTCATTTTGATTTTGAGCCGCCAACTCTCGAACGATTCATGTTTATTCGGTCAATATATGTCAATTCATGACCAGTTATATAAGGATTGTCGAGAGCAATCATCGATTAGTCGAAGTATTGGCCAAAGTCGTGAGCAACGCACATAGCGCACGCCATGGCCATGCACGTCTCGTTGATCATGCTAAGCTAGGTTCAGGATATTACGGCTGAATTATGTGTATTTATTTATGATATGCTAAGTCATGTTAATTCATGTTATATTGGTCGGAGCATGTCGCCGGATGGCCGGCAAGGCCGGTTGTGGTCACGCTGCCCGCACACAGCGGCCACATCGTGCCGGCAGTCAGCCAGGGCAGACAAGCACCATGCGTGCATGCCCAGTTGGGCGTTGCGCGTAGCCGCTGCCCGCAGCAAGCCGTTAGCTGGCCGTGCCTAGTACACGCTAGCATGTCCCTGCGCACGCTAGTGCGCACAACCGCATGTCAGCCGGCCTTGGGCTGTGCCCGACAGCACGCCCGAGCGCCCAGTGCCGTCAGGGTCGCCAGGCAGCACCTGTGCGGTACCAGTCACGCCAGCCAAGCACGCAGAGTTCATGCCAGTCGACTGTTGCGGCGCCCGATAGCGCCGAGCAGCGCCAGTCGCGCAAGTGCCGGCGCCCGTAGCGCTCGGCAGCGCCCCAGCGTCATGTCCTCGATGCGCCAGTCGCACGCCAACCTTCCAAGTCATGTCCAGCTGGCCCAGGCTAATTCCTGTCGTGCCCAGCGAGCGTCATGCCATGCAAGTCGTGCCCAGTAGCACGCCTACGTGCGCAGAATGTCATGCCCAAGCCTAATCCATGCCCAGCAAGGCCCGGCCGTGCCTAGGCCGAGCCAGTTGATGAAGACCGTGTGTCTCGATTGCCGACAAGCTGCTCCCGTGCCTTAAATCGCTGATACTGTGCTCGAAGGTTCACACACTCGCGCCCCTTCGAACGATAATTTGCAATAGAATACTTAACGTAACTAAAGCAAGAGATTTGAACAAAGTTCGGTTTTGTATTAAGAACAATCAATGATCCCTATTTTAGAACAAGGCACGCTATTTATAAGGCTCAAAATAAAGATCTAGTCCTAATCTACTTAGACTAAACTACTTACTCTAGGAAAGAAATAAAATATAAAGTGTCCTAAACAAACTAGAAAACAAGGAAATAAAATATTAACCAAGCTATCTAGAATATTTCTTGCTTGCGCCTCAAGCCGCCCTGCCCAGCGTTCGCGTTGGCTAATCGCCCAAGAACTAGGGCTTCATCTTCCATTCCCGCGCACGCGTCCAGCAGCTCGCCTAATCCTCGCGCGCCTAGGCAAGTACGCGCGTGCACCCCGTCGCCTGCGCGTTTAACCCCGCGCTCGTCCCCGACAGTATCGCGTGCGTGTCCGTCCGCGTATCGCGCCTCGCTGGCACGGCGACTTAGCCTCCTTCGCGCATGCCACGTGCGACTCGCTGTGTTCTTGAGTCTTCTCGCGGTGTCCGCATCATTCCCGTCCCCTTCAAGTGCTTCTTTGTCCTCAAGGAAAAAGTCGGGGAACATCTCGCGCATCTCGTCCCAACTTTGCCACGTCGCTTCCTCACTCGGCAAGTCCTCCCATTCGACGAGCACCTCCCAAAAATATTTTCCAGCCTTTTTGACTTGCCAGTACTCCATCGCACGGCTCGGCCGCACCATAACCTGCCCATCCGGCGCGACCGCGGGTAGTCGATCCTTTGCCGCGTGCGTCTCCCCGAGTTGTTGCTTGAGTTATGAGATGTGTATAACCGGATGAATATGGGAATCGTCCGACAACTCAAGTCGATAAGCAACCTTCCCAACCTTGGCCAAAATTTTATAAGGCCCATAATATCGAACTCCGAGCTTGGTCGCGGCCCTTTGCGTGGTCGTCCTTTGCCGAAACGGCCTCAACTTCAAGTACACCCAGTCCACGAGCTCGAACTCCACGTAAACGCCGCTTGCCATCATGGTACGCCTTCATCCTATTGATCGAGCCCTCCAACGTCTGCTTTGATTCGCGCAACATCAAGTCGCGCTCGACCAACTCTCGATCGACCTCATCGTTCACGGCGCTCCCCATCGAGTAACTTACGATCGTCGGTGGTTTGCGTCCGTACACCAACTCAAACGGCGTCGCCTTAGTCGAGCTATGGTAAGTGGTGTTATACCAATACTCAGCCCAAGGTAAATAATTCTCCCACCGCTTTGGAAACTGATGCACATAGCACCTAAGTTACTGCTCGAGTGTGCGATTGGTCACCTCTGTCTGTCCGTCGGTTTGTGGATGATAAGCTGAGCTCATGCTTAGCTCGGTTCCCTGCAATTTAAAAAACTCCGACCAAAAGCTACTCATAAATATCTGATCTCGGTCTGACACAATTGACCGCGGCACCCCATGCAATTTCATCACATATTCAACAAACAATTTTGCTATAGACTTAGCCGTGTATGGATGAGTAAGTGGAATAAAATGCGCATACTTGGTAAGGCGGTCGACTACCACCATGACTCCATTGAACCAATTCGAGAGTGGCAACCCCTCGATAAAATCCATGGTGATGTCCTCCCAAATTCGTGCGGGAACCGACAAAGGTTGGAGCAGCCCGCCCGGTTGACGCGCGTCCGCCTTAGTGCGTTGGCACTCATCACATCGCCCAACGTAGTCGCGCACATCGCCCCTCAGCCCCGGCCAATAAAAAGTGCTCGCAATCCTCATCCATGTCCGGAACACCCCTGAGTGTCCTCCAAACTTCGAGTCGTGGAAGTGCCGGATGATATCCTCGCGCAATGATCCCACCTTGGGCACGACGACTCACCCACGGTAAAGGAGCAAGCCATCATGCATGTCATGGTACTCGTCCTCGTCGTGCCCCATGTTCAGCTTCTCGATCACGTCCCGGCAATGAG